AATGGCATCCCTCTCACGGCATGCTGTGATCCATGGAATTGTCATGCATTTGACAAAATCTTACATGTTTATTGTACCCAGAGGGTATATGACGTACCATTTATTCTATATAAACTAATAAGTCATAATTTGATATTTATGCATGTTCTTGCCCTGAAAACGGTGTTGACTAATACAATGTCAACGAAGAAAATTATTAGCGACTAACAAGGTAGGTAAGAACTAAGAATCAAAGTATCTACCTCTCAAATATCAAACTCAACTCAAGTATTTGTTTTCTGATATACAACAATATTTTATACTGAAAAGATATGAGATTTTGGCTAAAGCACACAATGAGTGTGGGTATGTTAAATTGGTTTCAACCCTCTCCATTTGGAGAGTCGAACCAAACGGTTAGTGCATGAAACTAGCCAGTACTCCAATAAAAACATGTCGAATTAAGATGAACACAGTATCTAACTCACCGTAGATACAACTAGCAAAAGATCTTTGAAAACCATATAGATTAGGGTTGAATGGAACTTTAAATGTATAACCATATGGAGTTGAACCGAGACGTTGGACGGTTGGAGCCATTTTTCAAATCAAAGATTAGGAAAACCGAGACTTTTGCTTCATCTGACTCTGCTTTAGGGCCGGCTTTGCAAATATTTTAATAATCGAAATGCAGAATGCTTTGGTTTCTTTGATTGATTTGACGGCATGGAACCCACAGGTTTGGATTGAAAACAAAAGTTGGCCTGGGCACGTCAGCTTTTGAAGTGGCAGAGTTTGGCCGAACACAAGGTAGGCTAACTGCTTGTAGAAACAGCTAGCTGCTTCAGAAAAAAATGGGGATTAGAAGACAATAGAGTACGTAGGAAAACAACGAGTCCCACTGAGATCATTGACAAAACTGACATGAAAAAGGGCTGATTCCCCCTCGTGCACCTTCTGCACATATAGAGTGAGTATGCATGTTGCTTCATAACAGACAACGCACTCTCTCTTTTTTTCTAAAGAGCACGGTGGTGGACGTCTTTTCTAATGAGCAGTGTGATTTCTGCACTATACATATCCATTGTTTGTTTCCCTTGGCTTCATTTTCCTTTTATCCATATCATAGGGACCTAAATTCCATGTATTCAGAACATGTCATGAGAACGTATGTAGCAACGTGTCTCTGTTTTTGTCCAAATAAGTCAAATATGGGACTACGAGACAACGTCAATCTAATAACTTATACTGTAATTGCAATGATTGCGTTTTACATACTAATGGGAGAGCAAAAATTCGAATTCTAATCAAGTATACTGTAATTGCAATGATTGCATTTTACGTACTATCGGGAGAGCAAAATTTTGAACTTAGCTATTATTGGGAAGCAAAATATCAGTAGACTAACTGCCTATGAACCTAAACTAGGGTTGATATCGAATTGAGACTAATGTATGAGAAAAGGACTTAAAATACCAACCTCTCATATCTTAGGCAGGCTTTAACTTTGTACGTAACAAATAATGACCTTATTACTATTAGGTATTCGGGTCGTTTGTTTCCTATGGTACTTATCACTTTGATAGGGAGATGTGCATGAACTGAAACGCAAAAACGTGTCTTCAGATAATACGCTATTGCGTCTAAAACTCTATGAATGTAGTAGTTCATATTCTTCCCATATGTGAGCAAGCATGATTAGGAATATTAATTTGAGTGTAAAAACTGAAAACATAACTTATCAAAATGGTATTTGGATCCGCGTGGTCAACGATTTCTATGTGATAGTTTGATTTCCTAGCTTAACTCACATATTAAACTATAAGTAAATTTTTATTTTTTTTATAAGTTATTTAAATAAACTCAGGTTCAAGAATTTTTGGATCATATATCAGAAGTATAAACGTTACGAAAAATTAGTTTACACGGCCAACACATGCACCGTATCAAATACTTTCATGTATGATCTAAAAAAATCTTAAATATGTAATAATTTGATATTCGAATAGTTGAAAATAATTGAATATTAACTCAAGGGTTGTTTGATAACCATCTTGTTTCTAGTTTTTGTTTCACTTTTTTTGAAAATTGAAAACTTATTTAGATTTTTCTGGTTAAGAAAATGAATACCGATCGGAAAAAAAAAATTGCTTTAATTTTTGTTTTCAATTTTTTTTAAAACTAATAATTAAAAATAACTATTAAATGAGTTTTCAATTTTTAAAAACATGAAAGCGAAATGGTTATCAAATAAGTCCTAACCAAAACAATAACATTGTCTTTCGGTATGAAGTGTATGCACTTAGTTAAAAGAAAACTAATGAAAATGGCTTCAAATATTTACATTTTATTCAAAAACCACCAACGAACTTTATTTAATAATAAGGACAAAATAATAATTAAAAAATATATAAAAACCCAACTTGCGCTGGGGTGCATACCCCCTTCCCTTCCACACTCTACTTTTTCTCCTACCTTTTTCTCCAATTGGCGGCTACCCATTGTCAGTTACATTAATAGATTTCTTCTTTTTCTTCTTTTTTTATGCTTAGAATAAGAAAAATACTTCAAATTGAATTACATTCTTCAGTTTTACTTTTTGTGGTGTTGTTTCCCAATAGTAGTTTTGATGATGAGAAACTTTTCAATATGCTCGAAACATGGGGTGGTACACTCTATACAAGTTGTGAGATTCTTGTGTTAAAAATTTAATAACATAAAATATAAAATTTCCACCACTTACATAATAACACATGGTATACCATTTGTATTATGGGCACAAGGACAAATTTCTCCAAGATGACACCCAAACTCATGAAATTGGATGGAGAGCTACATTTATTATTGTAGGTATGTAAAAAATGTGACAAAATTTTAATTTGGTAATTGAAAACAGCTTTTTAAATCTAATTATTGAGAACAAAATCTTCTCAATGTTTTGATCTAAATAGTCACTTATGGGTTCATCGTTTTTGGCGCAATGGGTGCTTTTACAGGACCAAAAAGGGTCTAAGTTTCAAACCTTATGAAATTGAATCAATAATTAAACACTATTTATAAAACTTCACCAATAAGTAGACATTATTCATTAAACTAAATCAATAAGTAGACACTATTTATGAAACTAGACTAATAAGTAAACACTATTTATGAAACGAAAACAAGAATTAGGCATTATTTCTAAAACTAAACCAATAGGTGGAAACTATTTATGAAACTAGAGTAAGAACTAGACAATATTTATGAAACATGACAAGAATTAGGCTATTTATGAAAGTGGACAAATAACTAGACACTATTTATGAAATCGGACCAAGAAAAAGACATTATTTATAAAACTGTATCAATTACTATACATTATTATGAAACTGGATCCAATAACTAGACACTATTTATGAAACATGACAAAGAACTAGACACTATTTATGAAAATTCAGTTTCATAAATTGTGTTCAGTTTCATAAATAGTTTTCAGTTTCATAAACAGTGTGGCGCGTCAAGTTTTTTTGTTTTTTTTTAATTGTGTCCTTTTCATTAAAATTTAAGTTTTTTTTTTGTCATTTTTATTAAAATTTAAGGGGTTTTCATTAAAATTTAATTATTTTTCATTAAATAAAGTTATAATATAGTTTTTGGTTAAAATAAATTTAGCCCAATCACTTTTCATGAAAGTTTCATTTATTTAATTCATTTCATTTTTTGAGCTTGCATGTTTCTTCACCAAATGAATTCCAAGTTATTATAGTACTGCTACTACCACCCTTCACTATCGAGAGAGGAAAACCTACTAACAACGCGATAGTATTATGACGGTATTTCATATTTAAATAGAATATATTTTTTTCATTTTATTTTTCTCAAATACTAAGAGTCTAAGGTATCATAAATTCAAGAAAAAATTTTGTATATCAAGATTCCGGTTCGGTATACTAAGTGCCAAAATTTAAGTGGTTAAAATTTTTTCTTAAAGAATCTAATCACTTGTATTATAACACTCAATGAATTAAGCCGTACTCTCAAGACACTAAACTCAAGATACCGCCATAATGACATCTGAGTCACGTCGAAAATCTTGTCCCACCATCGACAATGCATACTTTGATTCATCAAAACCAGCATGACTGGCAACATATAATATCCAGCTATGATGAATATGATGAATGATATCCAACTCAAATGTTTTAGTTGGGGATTTATAACCTGGGGACCAACCTGAGGGAAATCGATAGGGTCAAAGGTCCATTAACAGGACATTGTTTAGACAACCCACTGCCACGTGTTAAAATCTCATTCGATAGAACCTAATCGGATAGTTTCGTAAGGCCATTGTCCACGCAACAAATATGCAGATGAGAGGAAAAGATCGAACATGTCCGAATTTCTGAGACATTTCCCAATTGGCCAAAACACTTACCAGTCTTCACTGTACTCCCTTGTCTCTGTCAAAAATATCACCTTAAATTTAATAAAAAAAGTCAAAGTAAAAACACAAATTGCTCTCTCCACCACACCAAACATTTGAGTCACGCACAACTACAAAACAATATGATTATTTGGTAGTCCTTTTACGACCTAATATTTTAAACCATTTTAAATTACAGAGATATATTTTAATAAGGAGATCAACCGACTGTCATGCTGATCTCTTCAAATTAATCGTATTTTTAGATTTTATTTTGTTAATGTTGGTTTCATATTAAGAATTTACATTTCTCTGTCTCTTACAGAGAAATCTGACTCCACACACCCTTGTTAATTTTTGTTATTGATCTACTTTATCATTCGATCCGACGATTGAAACTGAGAAGGATGTGTGAAAAATAAAAATAGATGTGTGGATACCACTACCCAAAATATAATGAGAGTACTGTATTTTCAAAGCTTTTGTTTTGATTTTTGGCAATCAAATCAAAACCAGTTTAATCATCAATAATCACGTTATGAATCAAAATTTAATTTAAACAATTAACCTCGTTAGCATTACTTAGAATAAAAAGCAAATTCCACTCGGCATCCACTCATAATCAAAAGAGAACAAAGTTGTTGATTATTTATTTTTAAGAATCCCATTATCTAGACCAAACAATTAATAAAATAATAATTCACAGAAAAAAAGAAATAATTATATAAAAAAAAACTTGTGGCAAAAATTGCATCTAATCTGGAATTTTTGAATCATGGAGAAGGAGGCACCGTAATGATAACCAACGGCTGCTGTTCCTCTACAACCATACAATCGGGTAATGTGATTTCACTACCAGCGCACGTTAGCGAGCGGGCCCTCTTAGCTTGGAGATCCCAGTCTGTAGTCCCAACCACATACAACATGAGCCCAGCACAACAAACCTGGGCTGACAGCAACCCGACCCATAATCCGCAAAACCCGATTCCAGCCCAGAATCCGAGTCCGACGGCCACTGGCATGCCCACGAGATAGAACGCGCTGAGGTTCACGTTAGCAGCGGTGGACGGGCGCGCGCTACCTCTGAGGACGCCACACCCCACTGTCTGCGGGCAGTTGCCAAGCTCGCACAGCCCTAGGATGGGCAGCGCCGCCGACGTCAGCCGCACGATCTCCGCGTCGCTTGTGAACATCCGCGCCCAGCTCCCCCGCATCCCTGACGCGAAACTCGTCGCGGATAAGCCCATCAAGAACGCAATCATGATCGAGACCGCAGAGGATAATTTCGCCTTGTGCGGCCGGTTTGCCCCGAGCTCGTTCCCGACCCGGGTCGAGACTGCGAAGCTCAAGGAGGATGGGAACACGTAAATCAACGCCGTCGTTTGGATGAGCACGCCCATCGAGGCGACGGTTGCTCTGGGGTCCACGAGGAGCCCACACAGGACGATCATGATCTCATACCACCACCACTCCAAGCACACGGAAACGCAGCTCGGCGCGGCGAGCCGAAGCAGCGGCTTCCAGCCTGTGAGGCACTCGCTGGTTGGCTTCGTCCACGTCGGCACGTGGATCCCCGTGGTCCACACGTACGAAACGAGGGCCAGTAAAACAAATAGATTGGAAGCGGCGGAAGCCGCCGCGACGCCGGCCACGCCAAGCTGGAGCCGAGTGACTAACAAAAGGTTCATTGGGAGGTGAAAGAGCGCCCCGGCAAAGGATGCTAACGTGAGCGGATGGGTGATTCCCTGGGCCCGAAGGTAAATGCGGATTGGGTGAATGAGGGAGTTGGTGAAGAGGTCAGGGAGGGAGAACATGAGATAGGTGTGGGCCACGGCGGTGATATCCGGGTCCTGACGGAGGTACAGTAGGATTGATGACATGCTGACCCAGAGGAGCGAAATGGGTAGAGAAGCGACGGCGAGGAAGATGACGGAGCGGTGGAGGGTTAAGGAGAGGAGCTTCGGACGTTGGGCTCCAAAGGCTTGGGAACAGAGAGGCTCCATGCCAAGGGCTAGTCCGGATAGGACGGAGTAGCCGGTGATGTTGGCGAAGGCGATGGCAAGGGACCCAGCAGCGAGCTCAAGCTCGCCAAGGTGGCCGAGGAAGAGCATGGAGAGGATCGAGCGGGAGTAGACAATGAGGGCGGTGAGGATGATTGGGAAGGCGAGCTGTAACAAGGACTTGGTCTCGCTGACTATGTCTAGTAACAAGTGGGGCTGCGGCTTTGGAGCTTCGGGTACGGATAAGAAGTCTAGGAACAAGTGGGGCTGCGGCGGCGGCTGTTGATGGTGGCGATGCTCTGGTTTCTTGGCTGTTGATGAATTGTTTGGATTACACATGATTGTTTGATGAACAACAGAGAACTTCAACGATTAAAAGCAAAGAAATGTTTCTCGTTTGTATGTGATGATTATTGTTTCTGTCTTTTGAACGATGCTCTGTTTAGAAAACGAGAGGAGAGAGAAGGAGATACTCTCGTAGAGAGCACTCTAATGAATTCAAATGAATGGGGGATGGATAGATGGATTGTTGTTTTTTGGCGTAGATGTAAGGGATGTACAAGTATAAATAGAGGGGACGAGGGGGAGGGGGTGTTTCCGTCTTCTCACGTCACTTGCCCTTGAACTTTGTTTATCATTCTTCATGCTTCTCCAGTTTAATTAGGGAGTGTAGTACATTTGGATTTTTGAGGATTTTAATAAAAAAAATTAAATGACAAATTTAAAAAAAAAATTAATAAATTCTCAATTCTATATGGATTTTGACAGGTTTATATAGATTTCTATGAATTTTTTTCATGAATTTCTATTATAGATTTTTACATATTTGTATGGAATTCTTAGAATTTAGTTGACTTCTATAACATAAAATGAATTTATTCCTTAGTGGACAATCTGAAAGGACATAAACATATGGAAATACGAACCAACCAATTATATCTTTTCCTTTCTCATTTAAATTGTGATTTTGTTTTTTAAAATAATTTAACCAACCAAAACAAAGATCACTGACTCAGTAACCATTTGATTGCAAGAACCACCTTGTATCATTCTGGGCGTATAAACAAAAACAAGATAGATAATTTCAACAATATATCCTATAGTCAAAGCCAATACATACAGTAACATAAATCAAATTTTAAGAAAGGTATATAGATAGTTTCAACTAAAACAGATAATAATGCAGCTTTAACCCTTATTTTGCTCCCTCGACCTTCATACGGTGCTGCTCTTCACAGTCACAACACTAGCATTATTCACAACTCATTATCCTTCATTCACATTGTTGTCATTGTACATGTTCAAAGCAATATTATATCTCTATTCATTAGTAATATTTCATTGTTATTCTTGTGGTTGACAATTTTGTTCAAGATCCCCTTCTAAAACTGACGATGATGGAGGCGAAGAAGGTTCATCATCTAGTACAACGGGAAATTCATCTGGTCTACACTCCTTGCGAAGAAAATTGTGTACTGTTGCACAAGCTAATACTAGCTCCACTTGTGTTGCATATGCAAAATGGAGGTACAATCCTAAAAATTGAGAATCGTGATTTAAAAATACCAAATAACCTCTCAACGACATTTCTTAAGAAAGTATAACGAAGATTGAACAACTCTTTCTCGTTTCTAGGCTCATGACCTGGACGACCATACTCTTGGAGATGATATTGGATTCCTCAATAAGGAGCTAAGAACTGGCGCCTATTTGGAAATTCACATTATACCATGAAAAATTTGCCTGATAATATATATTTTAGTATGCAACTCAATTACTTAATGAGAAATTTGTTATAATAATAATAAATAAAATAAAAGATAATTTGATACCTTGTGGCACTTTTAAGTTCATTCCTCCTTGTCAAAGCATCATTTAGTATTCTTAAATCATGAGTTGATCTTTCCCACCCGGTAAGAACGTATATGAATTCCAAATCAAATTAACTTACAAGCGGCTAATACATTTTGAGATATGACTCCTTTACGATTACGATAACAATATGCATTGCTTCTGGACACTGATGTTGGGATATGTTTGGCATCAATAGTTCCAATTAATACAATCTTGAAAGAGTGTTATTAAGTTTATCTTTTGGAATAAATCAAAATGATACAAAATAAAAATTAAAAAAATACAGATCATACGTACCTTCAAGTAAGGATAAAACCTCATACTTTTTCTTATTTTAGATGGCACTGCTAGTCTAGACACGAACATCATTTCCGATGCTATTGTGTTCAAGGCCTTCAAAACTTTGTTAAATTTCTACTAATAGTCTAATGTGATGGGCCAAATGTATCACGTATTAGACAATAACTATTATTATGGCCGACAATGATAAAAAATGTTGCAAGCATTTCTTCTACACAAATGAATCTTGTATATCATAAGAGAGTTGTCTCTAACAATAGTGCATAACTTCATAAACACAACATGATACATTCTATACCTTTGCCGAAAATCCTCTGGACAATCTTTTTCAATATTTTATGTGTATAATTGTATCCTTCGAGCATCTCCAAAGGAGATGTCATAAGATAAATGTCAAATGTTAATTTGATGGCTGACGTGACAATGTCAGATTTGCTCCTTTTCCAACCAATATGTTTCTTTGTTATAAATGATATTTATAGGACCCGTTTTAAAAAGAAATCAATTAAAATACATTTTCAAGATCTATAATTGGTGCATTAATGAGACCCACACAATAAAATAATTAAAAAAAATTGACATCTCCCTTTCTCAATTGTCAAATTTGACATATGAAAACTCATATGTCAATCCACATAGGATTGACAAATCGGTTGGAGCTCACTCCTACCTTCAAATTTGATTACATGACATTTCACCTAGGATTTAACATCTCATTTGGAGGTGGTTTTACATAGTAATTTATCATCAATTTAAATGACGTTCAATAGGTTGTCTAGTTGTAATTATAAACTCCTTTAACACGTGAACTACAACTTAAATTGTCATCAATAAATAGTCAATAATTTCATAAAGTTCTTCTTCCTCAATTTCTTCATCATCGGCTTATTCTTCAATTTGTTTTTCTTCCCTTTGTTCCACTACCATTTCGTCCTTCTCTTCGTCCACTTACATTTATTCCCCTTCTTCTTCCACTTCCATTTTGAGACATTATATAGAATATCCCAACCAAATAAATAAAATCGTAGGCAAGTTAACAAACAAAGAACCATATATATAATACCAATCATGAGCAAGTTAACAAACAATTATTGACACAAGAATTGCCTGATTTGTTTAACCAGAAATACTAAGGAGACTACCTCAAAAGTGAGACTCTCCATCGACTCTCTATCACCTTATGCTTTTAGCACAATGTTTTATAATATTGGGACGGCTTGATGTTAAACTGTGAAGTGACACAAACTCCATAAAAAATCCCACTTTGAAAAAATCTCTCTCCGCATCTTTTTGTTTAACAGTTTAACTCTCGGACCTGGCTTCTCTGCCTTCCCACTTCCCATACACTTTCATCCCCTCCTACTTGTGCGGTCATGGTTAAACCACGTTAATGTTTATTACTATTGCTTTTTATCTTATTATCTCTATAAAAAAAATCAATATAAAATGTTGACGTGACTTAACCGTGACTACACAAAATAGGAGGGGATGAGAGTGTATGAGAAATGGGAGGGCAGAAAAGCCGGGTCTTTAACTCTCTAACACTATGTTTGGATGAGAGAAATAAACTTGGAATTTGGCGGTAAAAGTCAGAATTTATAAATTGACATACACCAATTCCCTTATTTGGATTCATAAACATAGAAATTTAGAATTTCCGCGTGAAAAAAAAAACTTGGAATTTGGGACCTCCAATTCCCAAGTTTTAATTCCATATAAATATATGTCATTTCCCAATTTCCATGATTGAGAGTTTAAAAATAAAAAATTTCGTATTCAATTTCATTGTCCTTTTAGGTTAACCAAACAAGAAAATTCACAAATTCTAAAAAATAAAATCCCGTCATTTCAATTTTCGTCATTTTAAAATTCCTTAATAATATTAAATTTCTTCATCCAAACATAGTGTAAGTTTCATTCATCCCAAAACTATTCATTTAGTTGGATCGATATTTTATTATTTAAAAGGAGAATGTGGTAACTATTGTTTAGGGTTTAGTAGTTTATGTGGTTTGAAAAAAGAGACGTCAGATTGTCAGAATTTAATGGTGCAGGGCAGAGGATTCAATTTCCAATAAGTAAAATTTTAAACAGGGAGATTGTTCTGGTGATTGTCTCTCACGATGATATGTTTAATGTGTGCTTTTCTTCAAATCCCAGTTATTCGACCACATTCCCCTCGTCTCACGGGAGCCCAAGGATGCAATGCCAATATAATGCAACCAAGAAAGGAACTTCTGTGTATACATATTGTTTCCAAGCACACTCATATATTCTCACCAAGTAAAAGAAAATTCTTTCAATATCAATGGTTTTCTACCATTTAGAGGAAATGTTTACAAATTGCGGCAAAGTCTTAAGCAAGGTTGTCATATGAAACAATGCACTTATAACGTACATGAAAATCTCAACATATGAGTATGAATCATGATGAGCCATGCAGCAGCCCTACCCAAGTTTTTTCTCGTTTTAATAAGTAAGCTTATCATATCAACACAATGACATAGACTTCATGATATGGTCCATAGCTAAAGTTTTTGTTGCGGGAGAACTTGTTTGCAACATTTTGAAGATACAAAGTCATATAATATGTTTGCAAATTTTTAAGTGCATAATAATTTTTTAAAGTACCAATAACAATTTTATCATCTTATTAATATATGCATGATACGTGATATAAAACATAACGCATTACGTATTACAAATATTTAGTAAAATTTTAATTAAGCCATAATCAAGTTAATTAGGGTATAGTTGTCAACCTAGCTAATAGCTATCATCGTGTCATGAGAACTTTTATTGGAAGCACAAGCTTCTTGGGAATTGTCATGCATAGTCTCGAACAACAATATCTCTAGCCACAATTTTTGAGGCACAAAAATTGCGAGCTGTTGATTGGTTGGTTGATTTTGATTAATCCGCTTGTATCAAAAGTCACAGGAGGAGTGAGACGTGAGGTGAGGTCACTCTCACTCACACTTGCACTACTTGGAAGGCTCGATCGATCATATGAGCTCTATGGATTTTCAGTTGAATTTTCTGCAGCAAACAAAATTGAAAAATTGATACATCGATAAATCGGGTCATATATATATATATAGATAGAGAGAGAGAGAGAGAGAGAGAGAGAGAGAGAGAGAGAGAGTAGAATAGGAGGCGGAGGAGGAGAAGGAGGAGGAGGACAGGGAATGGGGGTATAGGCCGGTGGGTGGGCCTTGTTGCCGTTTGGATGATCTGATTGGGTGACTGGACTTTCTGAATTGACACGAAAGAGGGTCAGGCTTCTAAACGTCAGCAAAAGCATCCCCTTCATTTTACTGCCAAAAATGCCGCCGGACAGGATCCCTTTCTTCTAATCTATTAAGTTTGAAAGATTTGGACAGTT